AACTGAAGCAAAAGTATCTGGAGCAGTTGCCTATGACAAGCAATCAGCTTCTCTCTTCAGTTTGTTCAGTTAAGGTTTAAAAATAAAAGGTGGATGCTGATTGGTTGCCATAGGTAACTGCTCCAGATTCTGTCTGCTCCAGTTTTGATAAATTCCCCTCTATGTATGTTATGACTTTCAGGGCTAGTTCACACCAGTTCCAGTGCGTTCCGGCCCGAGTCGTGCTGGAACGCACTGGATCGCATCCCGGCCGCCTCACTGCATTCTGGGCCGGGAGGGGGCGTGTTGTTGCATTAAAGTCAATGGCAACGCAGGTACGCCCCCCGGCCGCAGTGTGATCTCCGGAACACATGGCAAATCAATGTCAGTGTTCTGGTCTCTCTGGGCCCCCCAAACTGGCGGAACACCAGGGCCCGGTCGCAAATGCGACTGATGCAGCCCTGGTAGTTTCGCCAGTGCCGGTATCTGCGTTTAGTATTGGGTCATTTTCACGAGTACGAGTGCTTGTGAAAATGCCCAGTATTGGCACAGGTGCATCCCTACTTAATATAATGTATTGCTGGGACTTGCAGTCCTGCATAGTTGGTGGTATTCAGCATTGCTGTATAATCATTATACATCAATGCAGAACACCACCAGCTATACAGGACTACAAGTCTAAGCAATACATTATAATGTAAATTAGAATACCCCCAGTTTAAACCCCCCCTCGCGCCCCCCACCAGTTTAAACCCCCCCTTCCCCATCTAGCCTTCACCCAGCCTTACCTGAATCCTGCAGCAGCTGCTTCATCTCGGCGGCCAGAGGGTCCTCTCCGACCGACACAGCCTCCTCTCCCCGCACAGCTGCCCGTACATTCTACTGCTACGGGTGGCAGAGCGGCGGGGGAGGGAGGGGGATTTTCATGAAGGAGCTGCGGGCCCTCGAACAGGCGGAACTCCTCGGCTAACGAAGGGAAGGAGGAGTTCGGTGACGTTACGGACATCAACGTCACCGGACTCACCCCCTTCACTTCGTTAGCCGATGGAGCCACTTGGGGAAGGGGGAGGAGTCCGGTGACGTCGATGTCCGTGACGTCACCGGATCTCCAACGGAACTCTCGGAAGACCCGGAAGCCGGCGGAGAGGTGAGTACCGATCAAAAAAATTAAAGATTAATCGAGGGATTAATCGTTAATTTTTGCAGCCCTAGAACAAAGTAATCCGTTTTTTGCCAGATTTTTCGGCAGATGTGCAGAAGCGCAGACGTTCCTTCCAGGATGTCAGACGCCGCTTCAGGATTAAAGGTTTACAATGCAACATGCTTTTCCCCAGTAAGCTGAGGGTTCAACATGAAGGAACGGTTCAGTTTTTTGAAACTGCGGCAGCGAACTGGCTGGATAGGCTGCGCTGAAGACGTGCAGTTGACATCCTTCCATAAATGCAATCTATATTGGAAGCCTTTGGGAATACATGACTGTAACAGTGACTGAGACCTTCTGCTGTTAGCCTTACTCTCTATACTCAGAGGAGGAGTGGTGCACAGACACCCTACCCCTTTTGGGTGCTGACCTTGAACTTAGTTTGGGATCAAGCTTCTGGGAGTTATGTTGGGGACCTTGGTTTGCCGAAGAAAGCAGGGAGGGTTGGGGGGGGGGGCTTTTTATATTTGTTATGTTGAGCGGTGTGATTCCTGCATGTATATGTGGTTCATTCCAGGCAGCTTGAGCTGGCCTGATATTAAAAGTGGTCTCTGGGCACCAGGTTTTCTGGGCCCTCGTGAGATAACCTTGCTGTGGGTGGATACAGGATGGCAGGTACTCCAGTAAAAATAGTCTCGTGGAATGTGAGAGGTCTAAATTACAAGTTCAAACGTTCATTGGTCTTTCAATATTTAAAACCGTACTGGCCTCATATTATTTTGTTACAGGAAACACATTTGTAGGGACAGAGGGTGCTGGCGACCTATGGCAACCTGGATCCAGAGGGCCTTTCATGCTACTTACTCGGTTTACGCCCGGGGAGTATCCATACTTCCATCCATCCAAACATTTTCCATG